TTGAAATTTGAGTGTTTGAATTAAAGTTTTAAATTTCTAAGAATCTAAAACGTTTGAAAGTTGAAATTTAGAAGTTTGAATTGAAGTAAATTCTAGATAATCAAAGCGAGACGAAATATGTAACTGGATTTTTGATAGTTAAGCGTAAACTTTATGAACAAGCGGTAGATTAAAAACTCAAAAGTTTAAAATACAAATTCGCTTTTGGAAATTTAATTTTGAATATTTAATGTACAACGCTAAAAAATAAAAATTATAAACCTCTTTGGAATTTTGATAATTTAGATTTTTGAACTAAAATAGTAAATTTTAATACACCAAATCATTAAAAATTTAGACATTTAAACTATTATATTATTCTAAAACTAAAACTAAATCATTTTAGAAAATTGAAATGTTAAGTGTTACACGGACCCCATTACCATATTTTATATAAACAAAGAATAACTACTCTAGAGTACGATTTCCGGGGGGAAAGCTGGCTATGGGGGAAATCCTACTTTACAACACTGGTACCATTTGTTGTTGTTTTGTTTTGTTTTGTATTGTGGAGGTGGGGGATTAGTTTTCTTTTTATTTAACACTACAAACATTTAGTAACTAACATTAATATAAAAACAAAATGTTAAACTTGGTACAAATAGTTCTATGACTTCGAGACTTTCGACCGTTACATAACGGACAGAGACACCGTCAATCAGATATCATCGTACTGACGTAGGAATCCTATTTGTACAAATTTCTCTGAGTGAGAAACAAGGATATATTCATGGTAAAATCCGTATTATTGTCTTACCATTTGTATATATACCTAATGCAGAGAAATTAAGATTGAATTTATAAAATACAGCATCCTTCAAATTTAGAGAGGTATTCTTTTCTCGCAACTAGATCTCTTTTGTTAAAAGGTAGGTCCCATTAAATGGGGTCCGTGTAACACTTTACAATTCAAATTACTCTTGAAAACTCATTTGGTGTATTGAAATATAATAATTTGGTTCAAAAATCTAAATTATCAAATTTCTAAAGATGTTTACAATTGAATTTTTTTTTTAGCGTTTTACATTGAAAATTTAAATTTCCAAAAACTTTTCTTGTATTTTAAACTATTGAGTTCTTAATCTACCGTTTGTTCAGAAAGTTTCGTCTTACGATCTTACGTTAAGTAATATTTTTCGTCTTTTAATTATTCAAAATTCACTTAAACTTCTAAATCTCAACTTTCAAACGTTTTGGGTTTTTGGAAATTGGTATTTTGATTCAAATATTCAAATTTCAAATAACCAGAACACGTTGAGTTTTTAGAATTTTACTGCGAATATCCAGAATATCAAATTTCCATTTACCCGATTTGAATTTTGAATATCAGTTCAATATTTAAATATCTAAAAGCTCTTTTGCTTGACCAAAAGAGTTATTGAAATAGTTTCAAAATTCAAACCGGATTTGGAATTTGATATTTTAGATATTTGAAGTAAAAGACCCAAAATGTTAAAAGTGTTTTAGATTATTTGAAATTTGAGTGTTTGAATTAAAGTTTTAAATTTCTAAGAATCTAAAACGTTTGAAAGTTGAAATTTAGAAGTTTGAATTGAAGTAAATTCTAGATAATCAAAGCGAGACGAAATATGTAACTGGATTTTTGATAGTTAAGCGTAAACTTTATGAACAAGCGGTAGATTAAAAACTCAAAAGTTTAAAATACAAATTCGCTTTTGGAAATTTAATTTTGAATATTTAATGTACAACGCTAAAAAATAAAAATTATAAACCTCTTTGGAATTTTGATAATTTAGATTTTTGAACTAAAATAGTAAATTTTAATACACCAAATCATTAAAAATTTAGACATTTGAACTATTATATTATTCTAAAACTAAAACTAAATCATTTTAGAAAATTGAAATGTTAAGTGTTACACGGACCCCATTACCATATTTTATATAAACAAAGAATAACTACTCTAGAGTACGATTTCCGGGGGGAAAGCTGGCTATGGGGGAAATCCTACTTTACAACACTGGTACCATTTGTTGTTGTTTTGTTTTGTATTGTGGAGGTGGGGGATTAGTTTTCTTTTTATTTAACACTACAAACATTTAGTAACTAACATTAATATAAAAACAAAATGTTAAACTTGGTACAAATAGTTCTATGACTTCGAGACTTTCGACCGTTACATAACGGACAGAGACACCGTCAATCAGATATCATCGTACTGACGAATCCTATTTGTACAAATTTCTCTGAGTGAGAAACAAGGATGTATTCATGGTAAAATCCGTATTATTGTCTTACCATTTGTATATATACGTAATGCAGAGAAATTAAGATTGAATTTATAAAATACAGCATCCTTCAAATTTAGAGAGGTATTCTTTTCTCGCAACTAGATCTCTTTTGTTAAAAGGTAGGTCCCATTAAATGGGGTCCGTGTAACACTTTACAATTCAAATTACTCTTGAAAACTCATTTGGTGTATTGAAATATAATAATTTGGTTCAAAAATCTAAATTATCAAATTTCTAAAGATGTTTACAATTGAATTTTTTTTTTAGCGTTTTACATTGAAAATTTAAATTTCCAAAAACTTTTCTTGTATTTTAAACTATTGAGTTCTTAATCTACCGTTTGTTCAGAAAGTTTCGTCTTACGATCTTACGTTAAGTAATATTTTTCGTCTTTTAATTATTCAAAATTCACTTAAACTTCTAAATCTCAACTTTCAAACGTTTTGGGTTTTTGGAAATTGGTATTTTGATTCAAATATTCAAATTTCAAATAACCAGAACACGTTGAGTTTTTAGAATTTTACTGCGAATATCCAGAATATCAAATTTCCATTTACCCGATTTGAATTTTGAATATCAGTTCAATATTTAAATATCTAAAAGCTCTTTTGCTTGACCAAAAGAGTTATTGAAATAGTTTCAAAATTCAAACCGGATTTGGAATTTGATATTTTAGATATTTGAAGTAAAAGACCCAAAATGTTAAAAGTGTTTTAGATTATTTGAAATTTGAGTGTTTGAATTAAAGTTTTAAATTTCTAAGAATCTAAAACGTTTGAAAGTTGAAATTTAGAAGTTTGAATTGAAGTAAATTCTAGATAATCAAAGCGAGACGAAATATGTAACTGGATTTTTGATAGTTAAGCGTAAACTTTATGAACAAGCGGTAGATTAAAAACTCAAAAGTTTAAAATACAAATTCGCTTTTGGAAATTTAATTTTGAATATTTAATGTACAACGCTAAAAAATAAAAATTATAAACCTCTTTGGAATTTTCATAATTTAGATTTTTGAACTAAAATAGTAAATTTTAATACACCAAATCATTAAAATTTAGACATTTGAACTGTTATATTATTCTAAAACTAAATCATTTTAGAAAATTGAAATGTTAAGTGTTACACGGACCCCATTACCATATCTTATATAAACAAAGAATAACAATTTTGTGTCTTGTATATGCTTTTTACATGAAAAAATCTGTAGGAGAAAAGATAATTAAAAGGCCAATTGTCACTTGTGATAGCTTTTTGGTATACTGTGTTATATGTAATTATGCTTAAAATGACATATCCTTTCTAAAGAGTTGCATAAATGGAAAATACAATTTTTGAGTGGTAGCAAGTTTGAATCGGACGAGGGATGGTCTGCAAAGAAACAGGTTATATTTGAAAATCTTGTCAAAATAGTTAGGAACTTCATTAAACGTGATGTGCGCTTCACTGTTACAGAACTAGTAACGCGGTGAAGAATTTGAAAACACTGCCTTTTTAGTTCAAGCTATTTGCACGACAAACGGTGTTAAGTGTTACGGATACGTTCTTATGAATGGAGAAGACCCTACAAATCGTGTATGAAATTAAAAAGCAGAGTAATTTTGAGAAACTTTCCCGACGCCGTTTTTTGATGTTACAATGAAACATATGGAGATAACGAACAATATTCCAGATCAAAAGTACATAAAACAATGCGAAATAAGAGCAGAGCAAACAGACCTCCAGAACATTAGAGGTGGGATCAGGTGCCATGGAGGACTGAGCATCCCTTGCTGACCGGTAAACCCCGCCGTGTGCTCCTTGTCATGATCGGAAAATAACGGAAAAATCCGTTTCCAATTCAGTGTATATAAATAATGGTATAACAATTAGTATGAAAAACGTCAGTCAGTATTTGACTCAATGAAAAAATGTATTCGCTGAGAAGTTCATTGTATCGACCATAGAACTTAAGAAATGATGACTTTAAACGAGCCTGCTGAAATTCTTGTTTCATCAACTTGTTTGTCAATAATTTTGGTTAACCGTGCTCCGTGGTAACAAAACACGTTACCATGAGTGAGAATATTGTTTAAAAAATAACAGAGTACAATGTTAACAATTACATGTACTTTTACCCGGTATGTTATATTACCTGAAGCATTAAATTGAACATTTTATATTGCACTTTGTATGCATGACTTTTAAAAGTGATAATGAAAATTTTTAAAAACTCTTTAAAAAGTTTAACGATGAGTAAGATGTGTCTCTTAAGTTAAATAAAAAAAAATTTTTGCCCCATGGGTACTTAATGCTTAAAAAATATTTTTGCCCCATGGTTTTCTTCGATGAAAAATGCCCAGTGCCTGTTTGTACCGGTCCCATCATTGTGATAAATTTTGCCTGGTCCATTAACTCAACTATTACATTAAAGTTTTACACTAAAGTCTATGGTTACAATAAAGTTTTAGAATTCAGATAATTTAAAACTAACTAGATTGATATAATTAGTTTTAAATTCTCTGAATTCTAAAACTGTAATGTAATGTACTAATATACAGTGATATGTGTGATTCAGTTTCCCAACACATGTATGGCGGTAATCTGATTTCAATTCATGATTTTTTAAAAGAATGTAAAAAAAGGATTAAAAAAAAGATCAGTTATAAAAAATAATGCATATCGCAATTAAATTCTTATATCATATATAGGAGCTACACCTTTCTCTACATAATGGATTCCTCTTTGCCCTGGAATAAAAATATCTATTTGGGACCACCGCCACTTGTTGAGGACCATCCTGAATTTGAAGATGCAAATGTTATTTACAAACACTACGGAACCCTTCAGCGCATCCTCTTTGCAACAAACCACTCTGTGACCGAGGATAGAACAATGTCGCCAAGAAAAGTTCTCCCGGATACTGGAGTTTCCGTCGTCATTATGTCCGCCCCGGAAGATTCCATGTCTATTCTGCTGGAGGGATGTAGGCGCTGTCCCGGCGATATGTTACTAGTTCTGTCTCAGTCATGGATCACTTTCAGTAAGACCGATAAGAAATCGGAATGGAAGTCCATGTTTGTTCATAAGGCCGTGACATTTGAGTCTAGTTGCAAGTCATACCTGGACGTTTTTAATCCACCAAGAAGAGTATCATATTTCTTCAACAACTATCAGAATCTCTATGGAAAGAGTTTCTCGGAAGATTTAGAAAACAATCTGGACTGCCCGATGTCAGGTTCTCCAATTCTAAACAAAGTGATTAACGACAAGCTTTGGGCACGTGATCTGATGACTAAAGCAGGACTGGTCTTTCCTAAGACTCTCGCCTTCACGTTTGGAACCCCAGAGCAACACAAGTTTGATAGCGTCTTAGGATTAACGTTTGTACGCCTCGATTTAGATGTAAATGTGGAGAAAACCGTGTCGGATGCCATTTCTACCTTTCTAGATTCAATAGACGATAAAGAAAAAATGGTAAGTACTGCTATGCACATTAAATTTTTCACGCCCAAAGGCGTAACGTTTGATTGCGAAAAATTGCTAGGAATCTATGAGAATGGTCAAATACATAGCAATAAAAATAAACCGTTCAGCTTTTAAGAAAATTCTCTTTCTTTGGTCACTGTTGCCAAAAAACGTAATTCCCCACAATCAATTAATTTTAGTGGTTTATAATACTTACTATGAAGATTGAAGACATCAAACTTAATCAAATACTAGTATTTTTAAAACTATCAAAATCACAATAAGGCCATAATAAATAAATTGCTAGATTCTCATCCGAATTTTTTCAAAAATCGAGGCGGGCGGGCGGCTTTTATTTTATATTTTTTATTTTTTCAATTTGGCAGATTTTTTATTGACCTGGTCAATCGATGTAATTTTATCTACAATACCCGAATAAAAGTCATAGTAAAGGTTCAATTATCTCTTACTTCCTATCATCACCAATCTTTTTTAACCAATGACCATTGTTTAAAATATATACGCATGTATTACAGCAATTACCATCTTTTCAACTGTCAAAATCATGTCGACTTTCGCGGGATTTATCGCGAAAGTAGAATGGGAGATGAATACCGGTCCTGATCAAAATTAAGACGAAGAAAAACAGAAATAAAAAAAATTGAGGCGGGGGTAAAAAATCAAAATCACAATATTTTTATTATGGCCTAATTTGTCACATTTTATTAGTTAAAAAATAAATGCATTTATTTAATTTTTTTATCTTCTGCTCTACCTCGAATACTTCAATCCTTTCAAATTTGAGGATATGCGAAAAAATGATAATTCAAAGTTTAATGTCAAATAACCTGGATTGATTGTGATTTTGTGTATGGTTTATATTTAATTACTGCCTTTACGTCAAAATCATTTCCATTCTATACCCCTTAAAGTTCGACATGACCAGTTGCTTTGCCTCGATAAAACAAATACCATAAATAAAGGGGAAAATTCAGAAATAGTAAAAGCCGCGTATTTTGTTTAAGTATAAAGATAGGATTCTTCTTGACAAAAGAAAGGGATTTTTTCATTTTAATTTGAGTACACTAAATCTACTCTGCTCTAATCACATGAAATTATTGATTTGAAAAGTTCATGGTTAGACGAACAGGATCGCAAAGAAAATTACAAAATGAGACAAGGCCCTCATATCACATCAGAAACGATGCAAATGGAATTAAACAAGCAGTTCTGGATGTTCTTCATACTCTACAGCCCGAGGAAGGTGTTCTGCTAGAAGTCACACAAGACACAGGTGAACCATATCCATGCTCAACCAACCAAATGATTTGATCTGATGTTTGTTAAGGTCAGACGACACGTTCCTCAAATACGCGTTTCGCATTATATAGAAATATTCATAATTGGCCTTCTCTTGTAATTTCTAAATTGTTATCAATATGTTTTAAAACATAAGAACACTCAAAACTGTGACATTGATTATTCAAAGAATTGTAAAAGAAATATCACCCTCTGGTATCTTGTCCAACTGCCTGGTATTAAAGGTACCTCAATTTTTTGTGAGGAACCTTGTTCCGTAGCAAAACTTCAATGCGAAAGTCTTGGAAAAATCAGATATTTTTGAGGAACGTGTCGTCTGACCTTAAAGCCCGAAAAACGTGTATTCTACTGATATTGTTAAAATATTACTACAAAGTTTAAAAAATGAATTTGAACAGGTTTAGTATAGGATAATTCTTTCTTTTGCAATTCTCTTCTTGTTCATATTTGGGTATATTTTTGTTATTTGCAGCCCCAACATAATACCGTCATTATTTCATAATTTGAACGAAAATGTTAATGAGTCTTTTTATGACACGTTTTCTTTTTTCAGAAAACAGTAAGAATGATTTAAAATTTAGCATTTGGGCAAATGTTTGTCGAAGCACCGTAAAGAATTCAAAAGTTTCTTCCATTATTTGTGAAACTGGACAAGGGACAGAAACGACCTCTACTAGAACGCCCCAATCGCTAAAATCTACCTTAAAAGAGAGAGAACTAGGAAAGGAAGAGGAGAGAATCACAAATCTCATTACAGACATGTCCAAAAAGTTGTTTCAAACTTTAATCAGTGAAGAAATAGCTTTAGTTAAAAGTAAAACAGGAGGAACGATTTTCCAAACTGATGTTATAGGTAATTAAGAAGGTCAACATATTATTTAAAAAATAAACTCTTTTAAGGGAATAGTTACCATTGTCTAAGCATTTAATTACCGGTATCAAAAGATTCACCTTATAATGCTCTTTTGCTGTCCTTTTTCTTACTTGCATGTAAATCTTGCTGTGCTTAATCTTACTTGCATGTAAATCTCTGCTGTGCTTAATCTTACTTGCATGTAAATCTCTGCTGTGCTTAATATTTCATTCCTGTGTTTTTTCTGCTGTCCAAGATCCACCGATAAGTCGGCAGCGCTGAGAAAAAACTCAGCAAAGATATTAAATCCTAATTCCTGACATCCATGCCTGACTTTTCGTCTCAAGCCACGGTCCGGAGACCGCATATAGCTCTCTCCTACATCGTCTCAAGCCACGGTCCGGAAGATCGTAAATTTTGGAAGTGGTTCGCGACGATGTGCATGACTTGAGTCAGCCACAACCTCTCTCTGGTTACAAACGTCTACAGATTGTCGCAGACCTGGATGTTTTGGCCCATATCATGATATTCTCCAGTTACTGGGTCAGCAATGTTTCTCAAGCCCCCATCTTACTTCATCGAACAGTACAGCTATTTCCTTCTTTTTCCACTTCTAAACGTTTATTGCGTTGATAGTCTTATTTTTTCACGATATTCCCTGATCATAGCCTTTCAACTGTTGTTACTTTCTATTTGTCTTTAATGTTTATGCTTCTTGCATTGTTGTTTCAAGAATCGCACTGGCATAATTTTCATAGTCGTTTCATGCTGTAGTATCCTCCATACAATGCTCTTACATCTTCCATGCCTGTGATTTACCTGCTGTCAAAGATCCTGCGATAGATCTGCAGCTCCGCCGACTAATGACTTAAAGGCAATCACTAGTAGATGACAAGCATCGTGGTGTATATTTGTCCTTGAATCCTCCTGCGCCTAATCGGTGGTACCTAGGTGCTCCTTTGGAGATGTTGTTCTGTATGGCATTTTGCAGCTGTTTCTATTTCCCCCTTCGAAGACTGTAACAAGGGAAACTGCCCCTTACCATCCTTTACCAGTTTATTCATGACAGCTCTGTCAATAGTCAAAGATGGTTGCTCTTAAGAATGAAGAAAGCTAAAGAAGGTATTAAATCAACCACAACCTCTACAACCGTCTCGAGATGTTTTAACCTTAGCCCATGATATCCTCCAGTTGCTGAATTAGCAATGATGGTCATACCACATCTCGTTGGTTCTAGGAGTCCAGCTTGGCTACCTTTGCCTGTGTCATAATAAAGCTTGAAAAACCTAGTTAAACCCAATTTTGACGGGAAACAGCATTGTCTTCCGACCCTTCCTCCTGCAGTCTTCTATCAAGTTTGCATTCTTCAGACTTTTTTTCTTCGGTGCACCACACTGCAGTGTTCCTCCCATGGCACTGTCAAGTCTATGGCTACCCGTGACTTGTCTTGTTATGAACACAACACTATATCTTGTCTCAATGGTGTTTCCAAGCACCTCAGATCTTGCACAATTTCCTGATGACACATCGCATCTTGCTGTTGTTCCACTTCGTTGAAATATTATATTGAACAGCTAGTCCTCTATTGAAACTGCTACATGAAATATTTGAAAGAAATTTTTAAGTCTTCATATATAGTCCTTTCCCTATTACACATATAGATAGTTTTCCATCGAAGCAACTTACCAAAAAGTACAGTATTTCCTGTTAGTCATCATATTATAGGTCAAAATACTAGATGTATATAATTTTAGCTGAAACTGGGCACTGAGTTGTAGATTAGTTATTCTTATAGACTATTATCAAATTTAAGATAATATTGTTGATTTTAATGAAATTGGCCAGACAAAAAATGATTTCTATAAATGTGTTGTATTTTCAGGGATTGAATATATAATGGCCAAAGAAAATGGCATTTTCACACCATTTCCTGTTAACATAAAAGGAAATGACAGCCTCAGTTTCTGTCATTTTTTCGAGTTGATGAATCCAAGTTTTGCCGGAAAAACCGTTGCCCCTTTAGTCAGAACCATGGTGGAAAGGTCCCAAGAGTATATGATGCAAAACAAAATTCTTTTGGTAATTGGCAAAGGAAGAGTTAACAAGGAATATCTGTGGAAACTAACTGAGGACAAAAAAATTAAGGTACTAGAATATATATGCAATATTTAGAGTACGAGTTTCCTACTGTATCGGAGATACAGGGCGGAGCTTGAGGCGAGAGCAATAGCTCGATTCGGGCCCTGCTTTGTATCTCCGATACAGTAGGAAACGAGTTGTGACTTGACCTTTCTAATGACCGCACTAATTTACATGCGTATTTGATCTCTCATCCAATCAGATGAATTTGCAAAAAGCTGATTTAGTATTTCATTTTAAGCAATCGCAATCGAAATGTCGAGTGGGGTAGACGTGCAGGACCTGCAGGCATCTATCATTTTAAAATATGTAGAAATATATGAGATGTATTATATAATTTGTTTTCTAAAAATTTAATTTAGATTTGATTGCTTAGGGTTTTTTTTCTCTGTTCAGCATTCTTTCAGTGCAAAACATTTTGATACATAAGAATCATGTGGGAATATTTTTGAATCAAAAATGCTTCGGTGAGATCGTACTCTGAGAGAAATGTCCGACAATGTCCTCCTCCGGTCGTCATATACAAAATTGAAATAAACAGATGAAAGGAAGGAGGATATTTTACTTTCATGTTTTAATGAAATGTACAGTAAAAGGGTGATTCAGCACTCGCTGGTAAGCCTTGGAATGCCCCCCCCCCCACGAGCTTTTTTTTCTTTTTGGCTTTCGTGAATTATTTTTGCTAAACTTGTATACGTATGCTTTTTAATTTATCAACAAGTAACGATATCACACATATCGTGTCTGGGTTATTATAAATCTAACCCCCCCCCCCCCTCCCCACGAAATATGATTTTCCATTTAATTTTTTTGTCAATTAAAGTAACAATTTGTGAAATAACTGCAACACTCCTTTTTAATATTTTTTTTAATCCGTCATTCATAACTTTACGTTGTAAAATTCTATGCCTACAATATTGAGTAAATCATGCTAATTGAACGATTATGTCTTCTGTATAGAGATACAGCTTTCCGTCATCGCTAAAAATAAACCGTACTGTATCGTTGATATTTTGCAGATACAGTACAGTTTCTGCTCATTTGCATAAGAAACGCCCACAAAAAGTGTTCTGTATCGCAGTTACAGTACGCTTGACTTCAAAAGAAAACATCTGAATATCTGTAATAGTTTTTTTCCCGTTTGCCCGATCAGGACAAGGAGCGGATGTGATCGGTCCACAGGGGATGCTTACTCCCCCAAGGCACCTGGTTTTAGATGTCCCTGATTGCTCTATTCCCGACTCGTATTGTTTTAATGGACTTTCGAATTTGATTACTATTTGATATCTCCATATTTTGCTAAACTTTTGATTTTAAATATAGGTGGTACTGGTGGACAACATTCCAAAGGAGAAAGCGCCTAAGGTTTACCACTTCATCCAGTATGATTTTATGGATCGCCAGAACAACGATTCTCATGCGGCAGAGATCATAAGGCGCCTCAAAAGAGAAGGTATAACTGTCGATGGCTGCTGTGCATACCTAGAGGACAATACTCTTCTTGCATCTATCATCTGTGAAATCCTCGGCCTCAATGGATCGGGCGTGAAAGGAACTCAAGCATCCAAAGTAAAATCAGCAACTCAGAAAACACTCTTCTTGCAAAAGCAACATGCGGCAAATTACCCTCGTTTCAGTTCGTATGCTTCAAAGAGCATTCGTATACGATCAGTTGACGATATTTCCTCCGCTGTAGACCAAGTGAGCTTACCTTGTGTTCTTAAATTTGAATATGGTTGCTGTCAGGTGGGAGTACAACGTTGTAACTCTAAAGAGCAATGCATTGAAGCTTTCGGGTCTTTCAAGTCGTTTCTAGAAAATGCAAGAGAAAATGATTACCCTACAATAGGCCTGACATATGAAAACGAAATGATGCTGATGCCATATCTAGATGGCACAGAACATGATATCGATGTAGTTATGTATAAACAACAGTTGGTAATGGCAATCGTGAGAGATAATGGTCTTACGAGGCCAGACTCATTCTTAGAGACTTCTAATTGTTGGCCATCGTTTCTCTCTCTTGAGAAACAGCGTCAGCTTATTGCTGCTGCTTATTTATGTTGCATTGGGGTTGGTCTGGAAAGTGGCGTCTTCAATGTGGAAATGAAAATGACATCTACCGGTCCAAAATTGATAGAGCTGAACGCAAGAATGGCTGGCTACATTATTCGGAGCTGGCTTTCAGATTATTGTGGGATCGAGTTGGCTCTCTACGTGAGTATGATCGCCTGTGGAATGAGACCCATACCTCCACCGAGTATAGATCCTGAATTTCAACTGATGGGAATCATGTGCTTTCCATCCTTACACGCGGAATTGCTCAACGAGCAAAACAAGAGAACATTAAAGAGGTATGCAGATAATGGTGATATTAATTGCGTGATCATTAGGCCATCACAACATTTCGATCCATCCAAGGGTATCGAATTTCCTCTATGCAATATCTCTGTAACTGGAAGTTCGTTAGAAGAAGCCAAAGATAAACTTCTTAGTGTTTGCAAAACTTTAAAAATCACCAAAGAGGAGTACGACGTAGAACACTTTCTGTCCATCTTTAAAATTTAACAGATTGTGTACATGTATCCTACGGATGAGTTTTTCTTGAAAGTCATGATACGTATGGTTTATTTGAACTTCATAATTTTTCACTGGTATCAAGCTTCTGTATTGTCAAACTTCCAGTGACTTTGATAACATGATAGACTATCCATAGACGAACCAAGGATCCGTTTAGTCGAACGGCTAAAGAACGGATCATTGAAAGATTATAGCCCTTGACTCCATCAGCCGATGACAATTAATGTTAAAAACCCTTAAGCTTACGTTTATGATGGAAAATGTTTATTTATTTACTGAATAGATTATAAGTAACCGTTAAAAATCATAGAGGAATAGTTTATTTTTTTAAGAACACGATATGGTAACGATCCTTATCAACTGAAAAAAATAAAGCATTATACTAGTATATATAAATATTATGATAGTTTGAAATAAAGAAATTGAAGTCATGCTTGTTTTAAAACCAGTTTTGATATTAAATCAATCGTACACAAGGCCAAAGAGGGTGAAAATATATTTATACATTTTCCCGAGTTTTTCAATTTTTATGAAATTTTGTTACATTTGAACTACTTTTTTCACTTCGGGAACCACAGAGCACAAGCTTGTCTTTCTGGGACTTTCACACACAAAATGTTTCTCATACTAGTACATGAATTATACAAAATGGTATATAACTAGGAGCTAATTGTTCTCGAACAATTAGAGGTCTTTCCACCTTCTTTGAATTTCAATTTCATTTGATATTTATCTCTTTAAATTTCATGAAAAAGACACAAGAAATGGCTTAAAAATGAAAAATTCAAAATGACCTTGACCTTGATAAATATTTAAGCTCAAAGTCAAGGGTCACATTGCAATTAACCCCGTGCCTCTATGGTTTACGGTTTCGGAGGAGTAGCGATAACAAGGTTTTTCACACAAGGGGCAATAACTTTTAAAAGGGTCAATCTAAGGGGACAAGATTAAAATCTTTAAAATAGTTTTAAGAGTGAATATGAATGATGCAAAGGCAGATATTATATGTTGAAAGACAAAAGAGATATAAAAAAGCTTAATTTCTCATTTTTGGAATGACCTTGACCTTTGCATAAATTTCAAGGTCAAAGGACAATGGATCTGATACAGTTGGTCCCATGTCTCTACGACTTCTCGTTTTGAATAAATATTAATTATTTGTAAAATTTCAAAATTTCAGGGGCAAAAACTCATTGAAGGGGTCAACGAATACTTTTGCAATGAAACAATGAAGTGTCTACTAAATTAGTCGAAGGTTTAGTGAAGGTTTCCTATCTCTACGGTTTCAAAGGAGTTGCGATAACAAGCTTTTCTAAGAAAGGGGTAATAACTCGGAAAGGGGTCAAAGTTCATTTACGCAGGGTCAACTGCAAAAATCTTTTACGAAGTATTTTTATGAAATAAAAATCTTTTCGATAAATCTTGAAACTCAAAATCACAGGGCGGAAAAATAATAAAAAAGGAAAAGAAGAAACAGAAGAAAATCAATAGATCTTTCCACAGAAAGGTGAAAAGACCTAATAAGCAAGCTTGTGCTCAACGTTTTCTGAAACAACGTGAATTAAATTTTCGGAAAATTAATAAAACTAAAGATAAAAAAAATCCGGAAATTGACAAACTTTATGACTTACCTGTGACCACTGTGTTCCCTGTATTGTGAGAAGAAATTAGAATGTCTGGAGCTTTTTTTATTTTTTGGCTATCACATTGTTCGTAAAGACACCTTCAAAGCTAAGACCAAAAAAGGTCTTAGTCTTTCTTGTCCCTCAATAACTTGCCTGTAATTACCAGATTGGCTTCTACTTTCTGTGGAGCAAGATGGACTTGACTTTTTACATTGTATGATATATAATCATCACATTTCCCTTCTCACTAGTAATATGGACTTTCTAAGAAAACACGGATAATTATTAACTTTTCAATTACTTTCCTTAGACCTAGTGTATTGAAATGAGATTTCAAGTTTGTTTTAAAATTCGGACTTTAGATTTTGGAATTTTTATGCATTATACAACTATCCCCATACTATGGAGACTCGTTTTTGTTCAGACATGACCTTCAAGGCTGGATCAGAGCCACAGTATAGGATTAGAAAAGATCTATATGGGCAATCTGTTTAATTGCTCAAATCATGGTACGGGGCTTGTCCTGGGCATAGGTGGCTAGTCTTTTTCTTGTGAAAAGAACTTTCTTTGGATACGGACATTTTTGTCCCCCGCTTTCGCGAAAGCGAGGGGACATTGAATCTCATTGGTCTGTCTGTCCGTCACAAAAACTTTAAACTTGGTCATATCTTTTGAATGAGAAGAGATAGGACCTTCACATTAAACATAGATATTACCTGTGACAAGACCTTTCTAAATACACTATAATTTTTTAATCCGTGACTTTGACCTTGAAGTTTGACATATTTTTTTAAAATTTAAACATTACATTGAATTGGACATAATTTTTGAATGAGAAAAGATAGGGCTTTCATATTCAGGATGTGTACCGGTATTACAAGTGACAAGACCTTCCTTGGTACACTGATTTTTGACGCCTCGTGACCTTGAAGTTTGACCTACTTTTCAAAACTTTAATTTTTGTCATATCTTTTGAATGAGAAGAGACAGGACCTTCATATTACACATATGTATTACCTATAACAAGACCTTTCAAAATTCACTATGACTTTTAAAGATAAAAACCTGCAACCTTGACATACTTTAAAAAAAATAAACATTACTTTGAACTGGCCATAACTTTTGAATAAGAAGAGATAGGGCTTTCATATTAAGATATGTTTTACCTGTGACAATACCTTTCTCAAAACACCATGATTTTTTACCTCGTGACCTTGAAGTTTGACCTACTTTTAAAATAATTAAATATAACTTTGAATTGCAATAACTTTTGAATAAGAAAAGATAAAGGCTTTCATATTTGACATGTGCATTTCCTGTGACAAGATATTTACAAGCATGCTATGATTTCTGACCCATTGACCTTGACCTTCACGATTGACCTAATTAAAAAAATCAATTTCTGTTATAACTTCTCAATGACATATGAAAGGGCCTTCATTTCCACAGGTGCTCGTGGACAGGATTATCCCTACCCCTCTCTCCTTATATATATAAGTGTAAAAAATTAAACGTATAAAACTTGTTTGTTTATCTTGGATTTAATTTTGATTTATGACTTAACCTATACCATGGACTTCTACAACATTTTCCCTATATATATATATATATATATATATATATATATATATATAGAATAATACATACCCTTTTCCGTATCACCTCCTGTATCAGCCCCAGACACTAATAGCAGCCAGAGGGCCGAAGGCCCGAGGGCTGATATTGGTCGAGGGCTGATACAGGATGTGATGTGGAAAAGGATATGTATTAATATATTTATTACATACTTAGTAATAAAGTACAGCATGCATGAAGTTGCAAAGAAAGTACCCTTACAGAAATTTCTGATAAGTGACTTATAAGTGATTTATTCTTTTACGTATAAGTTGTTTATTCTGGACTTACACTTCACTGATACATTTAACTTATAAGTGAGTGATAAGTTACTCATTAGGATTTATATGCAAATGAGCTGCTTGGCCTATAAGTGACTTATAAGCCAGTATTACCACTTATACTTTATGCAGTATAGTCACTTATAAGTGACTATAAGTGACTTATAAGTCAAGCATTAACCCTTCATACTTTATCAAGTATTAGTCACTTATAAGTGACTATAAGTGACTTATAAGTGAAGTACAAACTACCTGTAAGATCTTAATTTAGAACAGAACTTCCAATCATGCAGGGGTTGCATGATATGTTCAAAGCTATTTTTCGCTCTACTGGTCAGAGACCAGAAGAGCTTATGCGATAGTAATGCGTCCGTCGTCCGTCCGTCTGTCTGTCTGTCTGTCCGTCTGTCTGTAAACAATTTTTCAAAATGCTACTCCTCCTACAGTTTTGCTCTGATTTCAATATAACTTGGCACACAAGTAGATTATACTAAGATACATAATTCTGTGTATCGGATTTTGATTTCGATAAACGGTGTTGCCGTGGTAACTAAAAATAGAAATTTCTGTGAAATTCTTTCAAAATGCTACTTCTCCTACAGTTTTGGTCTGATTTCAATATAACTTGGCACACAAGTAGACTGCACTAAGATACATAATTCTGTGTATCGGTTTTTGATTTCGATAAACGGTGTTGCCGTGGTAACTAAAAATAGAAATTTCTGTGAAATTTCTTTTAAAATGCTACTCCTCCTACAGTTTTGGTCTGATTTCAATATAACTTGGCAAACAAGTAGATTACACTAAGATACATAATTCTGTGTATCGGTTTTTGATTTCGATAAACGATGTTGCCGTGGTTACTAAAAATAGAAATTGCTGTGAAATTCTTTCAAAATGCTCCTACTCCTCCTACAGTTTTGCTCTGATTTCAGAATAACTTGGCACATAAGTAGACTACACTAAGATACATAATTCTGTGTATCGATTTTTGATTTCGATAAACAGTGTTGTCGTGGTTACTAAAAATAGAAATTTCTGTAAAATTGTTTCAAAATGCTACTCCTCCTACAGTTTTGGTCTGATTTCAATATAACTTGGCACACAAGTAGACTGCACTAAGATACATAATTCTGTGTATCGGTTTTTAATTTCGATAAACGGTGTTGCCGTGGTAACTAAAAATAGAAATTTCTGTGAAATTTCTTTCAAAATGCTACTCCTCCTACAGTTTTGGTCTGATTTCAATATAACTTGGCACACAAGTAGATTAAACTAAGATACATAATTCTGTGTATCAGTTTTTGATTTCGATGAACGGTGTTGTCGTGGTTACTAAAAATAGAAATTTCTGTAAAATTGTTTCAAAATGCTACTCCTCCTACAGTTTTGGTCTGATTTCAATATAACTTGGCACACAAGTAGACTACACTAAGATACATAATTTTGTGTATCGGTTTTTAATTTCGATAAACGATGTTGCCGTGGTAACTAAAAATAGAAATTTCTGTGAAATTTCTTTCAAAATGCTCCTACTCCTCCTACAGTTTTGCTCTGATTTCAATATAACTTGGCACACAAGTAGATTAAACTAAGATACATAATTCTGTGTATCAGTTTTTGATTTCGATGAACGGTCACTACTGGCTTTTAAAACCCCTGTCCGTATGAAAATCCACTGTCTTTCTCTGTATCCTACAGCATTTTCACA